AATTCATAAGGCTCACCCCTATATACATATAGGGGTGAGATACCTGTTCTAGAGGCTGCCCGGGTTTGCTGAGTTGGCTGTCCTATGGCTGCCCGTTCAGCCCGATAGCACAATCTACCATATAAGTGTGTCATGAATGTGTCAGAAATAGTTATTAGTATAGGCCATCCAGCCCACGCCACGTGTCCCACGCACGTGCGTCAAAGATTCCCTTGGAGGCTCTTAGGTTAGACCAGATCTGGATAAGCTATTAAGTCGCTCCTGGCGTATGAGGTGGTCGGTCACACGACCATTTGCTCGACCACTTAGTCCCTCGACCAAGTCTTCTGCAAAGCTGGAGCCGACATGATCTCCAGAGATTCTTGTTGTCGCGACCTTTGTCTAGCACCGGCTTGCTTAGTCTCCGTTCGACCAGATCAACTCCTCCGATTTATTCCACCGACCAACTAGACTGGTCTAAGGTATAATATCCTATATCACAACTAATTTATAAAAAATAAATAAAAAACAATTCGATCACATTGACAAAAGTGACTCATTGTAGATTTATTAATGTTAATAATGAAATATGAGTTGGAAAGCATGGGGATTTTATAGAGAACTAAAAATAATAGAGAAAATTTGAGTTATGTGCGGAAAACAATGTCTATAGTCGGATCCCCGCTCAACGCCCAGGTCTGCTTCTCTGAAGTCGGAGCTAAACTGAAGACACGGAAAATCAGACGTCGATAGTCCGACCTCAAGGCATCGAAGAGGTAGGGGCTTAGCAACAGACTGAGAAGGAGAAATATTATAATAAAACCACTTGCAACCCAATGACGACCTATGGGACGTGCATACCTGCTCTGCAAACATACGCTTCCTAGGTGTCTAGAGCGGCATGTCCGCATTAAATGCTTGTTATTCCACATATATTGTCTGATGTAACTCGATGAAAAGTAACCGGGCATATCTTACTATAGATAGCCCTTGAAATCCAATTGGGAAAGGCACAGAAAAAATCTCTCTGTAAAAGACATAAATCCTCTCATTAAATACAACATTAAACGCGAGAGTCCGACCTCACTTGTACAAAAATTCGACCTCGCTTAAACAAAATTTCGCTCAAATTCATCTTAATATATCCATTTTTAATAGCTTAAATATATGAATACTCGCACTAAATCGGTGTTTTAGGTTGATCAAAATCGGTGATCAACAAATTGGCGCTCAATAAGTTGTTTAGAGTAAATTTTTGACTTGTCAACACCACCACAACAATTTGTTCCTTTATACTCTGAAAAAACCACCGAAAAATGACGTCATCTGGTGAAAATGATCAATCTCAAGAACAATAGCAGCGGCGACGGCCGACGGAGCAACCGCGTGCTGCCGCACCTGCCATCGATCTCTCGATAGTGTTTCAACACCTTGATTTCCTCAAGAGCATGGAAGGCATCGTGGCCAGAATTTTGGTGTCAAACACGCAGGCGAACCAAGTCATAGTGACGGAGATGGCAAAAACCCAGGCGACCAACATGCTAAGGACGCTGGAAAAAGGGAACGAACAAGCCATGAGGACTAAAGATAAGGGACCGGTCCAGTCGCAAACTACGACCCAGTCCCCAAACCACGTGGTTAGGGCCCGCAATGAAAACATGGTCAACCCAGCCGGTCAGCCCCAAGCCTTCGGGTTAGTCAACCTATTACTTCAGTTTTCTGCCATCTCGGCAGTCGAAGACAACCCGAGACCAACATGAGTTAGATGATCCTCAAGGGAAAATCAGCCAACTGCGACTCCGACGAGGTCGCCACCTTGAAAAAGAAGATTGCCTAGCTCGAAGCCCGACAAAAGTATAGCAGGAGGTCACCACCACCGCCTGATCGTTATAGTGCAATCTGAAAATCAATAATATGCAATCCGTCTATCAATAATGTGCATGGTAGTCAATTATGAGCAATCTGTTTAACAATAATGTGCATTCAAACTGCAACTATTTTTATAACAATATATTTAGTATCTATAATTTAATATTTAATATTTTATATTATTATTGTTTAAAATAAATAATACATATATAGATAGATAGATAAAATATAAATATAATATTTTTCAATCGGTTCTGTTATTTTGTTTTTGCCAGCCAAAATTGGATCCAAATAATCAAAATTTTAATAGTTGTTAAACTGCACACTGTTATGCTAATGTGCATTATTGAACGCATTAATGTGCATTCGGTCTAACAATATTGTGCAGATTGATAGTTACTAACGTGTGAGCATTGTGCACGTGAGTTTTTCATGTGCAAATTCAAACTTAACCCGAACAAAAATAATTAGTTTATTCGATGGGTAAAACAAATTACGGGGGTGTGTGGACGTGGGATTGGATAAACAAATTAAGGGAGGCGGGAAGCAGGCGGCGGAGTTACCGGCGAGCGGCAGTGTGACCGACTGGCATCGGGGGAGTGTGTCGCTCAGCCGCCGTACGTGTGTGTGTGTGTGTGTGTGTTTTGGGTGGTCTGCTATAGTGCTACTATGTGTGTGTGTATGTGTATGTGTTCTGTTAGCGTGGTGTGTGAAAGAAAGTAAGGAGGGTGTGGACGTGGGACCCACTTATTGATGTGGTAGTTGGGAATTAAATATGGTGTGTTGGTGTGTGTGGGTGATAATTACCACAATACCCTTAATGAGTGTAAAAAAATATTGGTTTCTTTTATCCGTTGGATCATTCGATTCGGTGGTTATGATGTATTCTAATTTCTTTCGTTAAAACTCATTCTCTCCAAAACTCAATATATATAA